TATTGCAGTATCAAAGTATTCTAGTGTGAGGATTCCGAATAGAAATGGCAAATTGAGGAAGAGGACAGGGCTTAGGTTTTATCTTGAGTACAGCCATGGTCGGCCTGTCGGGCCAACACACGTTGGGTGGCACGACGACTCGCAGCCTGCAGGCAGCTAGTTTGTAGGCCTCAGGAATCTTGATATCATTGGTTGTTCTCCGTTTGCAGCCGCTGTTGAATGAATCCTATGGATGTTTCGGTGATTTTCTGCCAATACCTCAATTATGCCTTGGAGAAACACTGTTATAGTTGAAGGAAGAAAACAAGCGCCTCATAATCACAACGGTCAACCCAAATGGATGTCTCAAATCATAGAGTGAACCTGGAACATATTTGAAAGAAGGTGGTTGCTGCTAATTAATCCCCTCCAGCCAGTACTAGGTAGTTACTTCCACCCCCTTTTGCCTGGAGCACACAGCACGGTCTATGTACCTGGTCGCTTGGCCAGCTAGGCCACTTCTCGACTACACAAATACCTGCCATTAGATAGGTACCTAGGTAGGTAGGTATATAGTCTTATGTCAAAATCTGTAATGCATCTTGCTTAGTATTTGACATCCCACCCCTTTGCCGCAGTGGCTGTCTCAAATTCCCGCTGCATGGAAGTGGTTGTGGTTGGCGTGTCCATGTCAAATGAGATCCTAGCCCAACTCTTCTCCACGGCGTCTGCTAGTCGCTCCAAGTCCTCAGGCTTCCAGATATTGGCTTTCAGAACAGACCATAGAACTTCAGTTGGGTTGAACTGAGCTGGCTTTGCCTTACTAGCAGCACTTCCAGAGGCAAGCGCAACAAGCGCACCCCCAAATGAAACCACACCATTAACAACAGCAGCTCCAGAGCCAGCCATGCCGGCACTCTGCAACGTTGCGAATGCACTCCCTGCCGCAACATTTCCGATTCCACTTTGAATGGCCGCCGCCATCGATACTATAGAAGTTATAAGTCAGATTAGCAAATGCCCACACATGCCTGAATGATATCGAGATATTTCAAGTGTAAAACGTACGCTTCGCTATTCCATCCGCACCAAAGCCCACTGCAGCCAGAGCTGGAGCAGCAACAACCCCCGGGGCTAAGGCGACGCCCGTTCCGACGCCCGCAAGCCCGTATAATGCGGCTCTACCCGGATTCTCCGATATCCATGAAAAAGCACGACTGAAGTTAGAAGGAGGAGCCATCTCAGCGATACTTAAAGTAAGATGTTATGATCTGCAGAGTGGGCTTGATTAATATGGCGTAGAACTTAAAAGGGAGGATCAGGAGCCAGATTGAAGAAAGAAGAACGAAGAACAAGGCATATTTTGTTTGACACAGCTGTGGCCCGTTTGTCGACCTGAAAAAACCTGGGGTTACATAACGGCTTACAGCCTGCAGCTATTCGTTAACCCCGCCCACTCAGGGATGACAACGTGTATTGGTGTACCCAAGGCGTATATGATATGTGACTACATATTCACATACACCGAAGAACTGATCCTGCAGTGAGATCTCACACAGCAATAAATATTCAACTATCCTCACGACCATTCCTGATTCTCACCTAATGAAGACACATACTCATTCTCTTAGGCTATTGATCACTTCCTCAGCGCCCCGCTGCCCGGAACGCACAGCCCCATCCATGTACCCTTTCCAGACCACCGATGTCTCAGTGCCAACAAAGTGTATATTTCCAACGGGCTCTCGCAGCACATCCGACCCGAGTGACGTCAAAACGCCGGGGCCCATGACAGGAGATGGGGCGCCAAGGAAGTACGGCTCTTCCGCCCATCTCTTTTCGTGGGTAGCAATAGGTTGAGGCACGATGGTAGCAGTTGAGAACACAGCATTGAACTGCTCTAAAACAGCCTCGCGGCGCTTTGACTCTGAGGACTTATTCCAAGTACGTCCCATATCACCTACAAGGAAGCAGCTTATAGACCACTGGTCGTCTTCTGGCGCACTGGTATCTCTGGTGAAAGATATAGGTCCTTTATACGATGCCATCGCACCTGATAGGTCCGCTTCATGCCACCACGGCTTATCAAATACTAGGACCATCTTGCTGTAATACCCAAGAGTGGTACTCTCAGAAAGCTTTGTCTTCTTCTCTGGCAGCGGTGGCGTAAAATTGATTGATCGGTATAGACTTGTCGGAACGGACACCACCACATGTTTAGCTCCGAATACGGGCCCGGCTCTGGAATGAACTTCGTAGAACCCGTTCTGAATCTGCCGAATAGACTTCACCACCGTTCTTAAGTGAAGAGAACTTGGCATTAATTCACTAGCAAGACCTTTTGATATAGATTGCATGCCTATTGTACGACAATTCTTCAATGTTAGCTATGTTCACTCTTGGAAAGAAACCTTCATTCTCACCTTGTTGTGCCCGAATATACTGGGCCCCGTCTTTTCCATCCGATACCATTATCTTCAGGCCATATCCACTCTTAATGTAGTTGATTAGGTACAGAGCACTGACCTCGTGGCCTTCAACGCCTAGAAATGCGGCCGTAGCCACCGACGCCATACGAGAGCCTACATTGGGCCCGACTTTCCGGCAGAAATCAGAGAATGTTATGCTGTCAAGCTCTTCCGCCCTGTCTCCGAGCTCGGGAAACTCGAGATTCGATGTTTCGACCGCTTCATGGATAGCTTTATTAACTCGCCGGAGTTCCTCGGTTATGTCGCTGTTCTCTGCCTTCGTGTGACATGGAAGTATTAGCGATGCGATTGTTTCTATTGCAACAGCTCGTTAACTCACTGATAGGCGCTCATGGTACGGATGAGCTACCGTGCGACCATCTTCGAATTGCCGAAAGCTAGTCCCAGTCACTCTTTGCACCACGACCCCGACATTGTATTTATCAAATAACTTCCAGATCTCGGACTGGTTGCTATCATTCACCCACGCCGCACCAATGTCGTTCGTGCCAGCTGGCTTAGAGCTTGAATTAATGCTGAGTGTCTTGCCGCCGACTCGATCAGTGGCTTCTAAAACCAGGCATGAGAACCCCGCACCCTGTATGTCCACTGCAGCCTGAAGCCCACTGAGACCGGCCCCGATCACAACAACATCTGTTGTAATGCTTGCTTGCATAGAGAGCCCAGCTATCTCAGAAGAAGACATCGCAATGTTTCAAATGATAGAAATGCAATACTTCCAGCAACACCTGAATTGGGTGGATAAGTCCTTGCTTGAGTTTCTAGTAAATTCGAAGGGAGCTTGGAATTGCTCTATGGCTCGGGTTGAATTACGCTCGAATTAGTAGTCTCTCTTTCTTAGTCATTGCGGGTTCCGAGGAGGCCGGGAAGGTGCACTTCGCTTAAGCGCGTCGCAAGGGATATCTCTATCACATTCGCTCCAAGAGTGTCCTACTGAGGTGCCAATGCGAGTAAACTGAATCCCATACCAAGCTGTACTTTTTGCACAAAATGCCTGATGGTAGTAAGTGTCGCGCCAGAAAGTAGATCATCATCTTGCTCGAGACTTCCCAAATCTACCGGGCCTTTCCTGTCTCCATCTAGTTCGTATAAGTGTCCATCTTTATGGGATTTCACGAAGCACACATAATGATAATCAACTTCTTCTTCCGGGTTGGCAGGTGCTTCGGTATCACCACGGATAGCAACCTCGTTATAGGCTGCTTCGAGAGCTTCATCGTCCTCGAGTGCAAGAGCACGATCCGAGGGGCCTAGAGGGACACATCTAGCTAGCAAACTTGAAAGAATGGAGTCTGAGACTAGAACATTCCATTAATATCGTCAGTAGATTTGTCTTTTTAGGATGCGATGTTTCATAAAATTGATCTCACCGATGAAGTCTCTAGCGCAGCAATTGCTTATCGCATGTAGGATCCCATAGAGACCGCACGCATTGTTGATCGTCTGTTTGTACCACATGACGATTTCTTCGTCGCCCTTCTTGGCATAGCCTTGTAGTATCATTTCCTCCTCGGCCTTTTGTTTCTCATACTCATTAGTCGTGGGGAAAACTAGAATAAGGGCTAATACTGGACGTGGGATGTACGCGAGCAATTCGACGTCCTCTAGTGACAAGACATCGTGGAAGGCCAGGGCTTCTGCGACGCCAAGGTTATGAATGAGTTCGGTAAAGAGCTCTGGGTTTGACTCGAGTGGAACGAAATGCTTCCGATACTCCATGATGTTCCTCAGCCTCCTCATAGCAGGGGGCTATGATTGCAGAGGAAAATAGTACACTTTGCGGAATCTAGGTACCTAGGTAAATATCGAAGTGCATAAATCCCGCTAAATGAATTGCTTGGATAAAACACTCGCACATTACCCAAAGCACACAGCTAAAAGACGTAGTAATATCCACAGCATGCATTTTCCCCCTACAAGTCTTGAGAATATCAAGTTACTTCAACGGCATAATATAAACCGAATCAAAAGGGTTGAGGATAAAGAGACCCTTTAAAAGTCTACACATAAACTATAGAGCTTACCTACTCGTTATGTGAATATGCAACACTTGCCATATCAACTCTTGTCAATACCTATACATGTTGAAGTCATTCGATGCTAAGTCTACCGATGAGTCAATTAAGAAGGTACTTCCTAACAACCTTCAGTAATATTTCGCGTTTGGCACGATCCCTGATCTGTAGAGAGCTTTATTGAGGTTATAGAGCATTTTGGCAAACTACCTAAGGCAATTCATCATACCATAGACATTGCATCTCTCTCGGCCAGAGTGTTATCAACTATGTCTTTTTACAATATCTATAATTGTGCTGGTCTCCCGTTTTCGAATACCATGTTATATGCATCCCTACCTGGTTCAAAAATAGGATGAAGCTGTTTCATCATGGACACTATGTTTTTGATAACAACCAAAGTATTAAACATGCATATTACTCATTGCCCTCTCATACAGGAGGGGTTTCGGTTTCAGCAAATAGGGAAAAGCTTGCAATTTTAGAATACATCTGGATGGGAGAAAAAAGAATTCACCGACGCAGGCCTGATTTGAACAGACGCTCCCGAAGGAACAAGATTAGCTTCCCTGAGAATAGAGACATTCTAGTCTTGCGCATTAGACCACTCTGCCACTGCGCCGTGCTGGAACTGGTGCTTGAACGTTGGTACTGGTCCAGTCACAATGTAATATAAAACCTCTCTACCACTAGCTAACATTTAGTGTTAGTGTTGAGAGTGGGCTTCGTAGTAGCGCAATTAGCTGATTGTCTTGGAATTTGTAGGAGAAAAACGGGGGTACCTACACGTAGGTAGATACCTAGGTAGTTAGAAATTCGAATAGGGCATAGAAGAATGCAAATACGAGTGAGCTATAATCGTCGAGTTCGATGCTTTGCCGTGGGTGGTAGTGTGGCATTACACGCGGGGTTTTCTGGTTGAGGCTACTTATCACACTGTTAGATGCCATCTTGCTGATCCTTCGAGCCTCAAATACATATATATATATATATATACCTCAATACTACCTGTAAGAATACTATTGTTACCTATGGTTTGGCATCTGCATACCATACTGGGAAATCTATCCCACGTGGTGCCTAGTCATCAAATCCACATGGAAAAAGCCTCAAGCCAAGATTCATTCCGGAGTTACTTGAGTTTATTGTGGCGCTTGACTTATATCCTAGGCTGGTTCAGGAACAGACCCAACTAATGAAACATTGGCATCACGAATGATACCGAGTCGGGCCTTATGGTGAATAGAAGAAGATGAATACTTAATAGGCAGATAGGTCACATAAGATAGGTACAGTAGGTAGGAGATGAAGTTTGCTAGCTTCTTTAAAGAGTGGATTTGGTAAGGTAACGCGAGAGGAAATATTTAGGGTGCATCGCTGCAGGGTTACGTACCTGACAATGCGGTGGCAGGGTGGGCCTGACGATAAGATAAGAGGTCCGATGAATGGATGGCGGGGCTTGCAAGCTTGGAGGGGCATTTTCGTGCGTGCCTGGCATGCCTGATGGTGAAAGATACTCCACAGTTGACTTCACCATCGGGTTGTCTTTGGGTCATAGTACATGTACTTTTTGTTGATGTACATGTAAGTGTGGGTATGAAGGTGATCTCAACATTCCATAAATTGATAGCTACATGACTACCGTATTGCTAAAATATCGAATGCCATTGCTTGATTGCACTCCGGAGTAGTCGGGCTACCCCACCATGACATCCCGAGCCAGGACTAGACATTTGGAGGGATAAAGAGTCAAAGCTAGCCGGCATTTTACCTAGATGTCTGTAGAAATTCGAGATACCTGTCCGTTGCTCCGTCAAGTACCCGGGGGCGGCACATGTGCTAGGTACTAGTAGAAGGCCAAAAGCTAAAAATTGCCCAAGCGAGCTTTAACCAGACGGGAAGGTTTAAAAATATTAAGAAAATTGATAGGTACAATTTATCTTGCGAAATAATCCGGGTCGTGGCTGCAGCCTCCATAATAATTCTCGGTCCTCTGCGTCACCGTGGATCAGGTCTGACCTAACAACCCCTCCACGACCCCTGGCCCCTCTTCTTTCAACTTTTCGTCCGTTACTTTATTAATTCCCTCAGAACCCTCGCCATTTTCACAACAAACACTAGTCTTTAACATTCTTACTTCTCTCTGTCGCACCCTAATACATCCATCATCTACTTCACAAGCTAAAGCAAAATATTCTATCCTCGTAACTGTCTCGTATTGTTATATTCACAATGGGGTTAATGGATAAGCTCAGCCTCAAGCCTGGCGTCGTTTACGGCGAGGACGTTTTGAAGGTAAGCTAGCTAATACCTTTCCTATGCAATTGTGTAGATTCATTCGAAGGGAAAGAGCTAATATGCACTCCTCTCCAGGTTTTTCAATATGCCAAAGAGCACAAGTTCGCTCTCCCCGCCGTCAATGTGACCTCATCCTCTACCGTGGTCGCTGTCCTTGAAGCAGCCAAGGAGACGAGATCCCCCGTCATTCTCCAGGTCTCCAACGGAGGTGCTGCTTTCTTCGCCGGAAAATCGGTCCCCAACTCCAACCAAGAAGCTTCCGTTGCTGGTGCTATTGCTGCGGCACACTTCGTCCGCTCTATTGCCCCTATCTACGGTGTTCCCGTTATCATGCACAGTGACCACTGCGCCAAGAAGCTACTACCCTGGTTGGATGGTATGATAGATGCTGATGAGGCCTTCTTCAAGGAGCATGGCACACCGCTCTTCAGCAGCCACATGATCGATCTATCAGAGGAAGAGCTAAAGTGGAACATCGAGACGACAAGCAAATACCTGAAGCGATCCCAGCCACTAAACCTGTGGTTGGAAATGGAGGTGGGATTGACGGGTGGTGAGGAGGATGGGGTCAACAACGAGGATGTCGACAACAACTCCCTATACACACAGCCCGAGGATATCCTTGCCATCTACGAGGCCCTCAGCCCCATCTCCAAGTACTTTAGCATTGCTGCTGGCTTCGGTAACGTCCACGGTGTATACAAGCCTGGCAACGTACGACTCCACCCCGAATTACTCGGCAAGCACCAGGCCCACGTCGCCAAGAAGCTGAACGATGGCCAGGAGAAGCCTGTCTTCTTCGTCTTCCACGGTGGTTCTGGCTCGAGCAAGGACGAATTCCTAGAGGCCATCTCTTATGGTGTGGTCAAGGTCAACCTTGACACAGATCTCCAGTGGGCGTACCTAGTTGGCCACCGAGACTACATCCTAAACAACATCGACTACCTAAGGACACAGGTCGGCAACCCTGAAGGAGCTGGCAATCCCAACAAGAAGAAGTACGACCCCCGTGTGTGGGTGAGAGAGGGCGAGAAGACAATGAAGGCCCGTACCATCGAGGCATTCCAAGATTTCAACACCGCAGGACAACTATAAGCAGGTTACCGTGAAGTCGCGTTGTCGGGCATAGGTAGACGTCTTACTGCGTGGTTTAAACAGGTCAAAAATTGATAGAATCTGACTTGAAGCCTTTCCATTTTTCTGCTATCAATTGATTGGACTAATCGTGACTATCTGCCTATGTTTCCTAGCTATCACTAGCCCGTTTACACACGGTAGTGGCCCTACAATTGTCTCCCTGCTGTAGGTAACGCAGCGCGTCACAATCTCCAACGCAGATAGCCGAAAGCCGGAATCGCGTATAATAGCCAAGAATCGGATCGCGATATAATACCCCATCAATGACCTCGGCATAGCACAACATACCCGGCACCAATATACATATTTCATTGGCAGGTCACCCCTCATCGTGAATGTTGCCTTGTATAAGTACCGCGTAAAAGCCAAGTTGGTACGAAATGTAGACAAGACATGACTTATCAAGTGGCATTACGTCATCTTGACGAAGGAATAAGATGTCATATTGTACACTTACTTTTATGCAGTGGTATTAGTAATCGCCTGTTTAAATGCATTTTATCCACTTGTCCACACTTGCCAAGATTTCTTTTTCTCCTGACTAAATGCGGGACCCGGCGTAATACGTCAAATGTTTCTTCGAACTTCAGTCATAACTGGACTTCATGCAGGCAGGCAAAATAACATCCACCACTTGAAGCGCATAGTCATCTATGTACAACCTACCATGCATTATTTCTTGTCACCGATGGGGAATTCCCGTGTAGAAAGGTGCCTAATCAGACGCAACTCGCCATAGAACGGGACCTGGCATTATTTGGTAGAGAAGTCAGTCATGATGGTGCAACCACCAGGATATATCGCTCTCTTACAGATCGTAAGTGCTAAACTTACTCGCATATCTCCATATGAAATTCCCTTCCCAGTTATGCCTCATTCCAGAGCTGTATTGGCGGGCAGGTGTCCGCGTCAGCTACCTAATGTACCTTGGAAGATGGAACGCCAAATCTAGGTAGGTAACTACATCCACCATCCACATATAATGCTGTGTCTCCCTCCTTCAAGTTCTATAATGACATTGTCATTGGTGCGTGCTTTCAGCCATGGTTCTTCCATGCTGCAGATATTGTCGAGATAGGTAGCTTTCTCATTAGTTCCCGCACCCTTACATAAGGGTGCGGGAACTAATGAATATGTATTCATTAGCTTCCGTACCCTCTACCGAATTTGAGGGGTGCTCTGTTATGTACAGCGTCCCCGCACTCGCCATGGAATAGAGATCGAGACAATACAACACAAGAAGCAGATACAGGCTGCCAGGAGTTTTCCTAGCCAAGTATTATAAAAGAACCGAGTCTCGGCGGTGTAGTTAAGAAGGCTTTTATCCCACGACTGGGTCCAGTGGAATTCATACCGCCTATCTTCAACTGACAGACATCTCACGACCAAAATGCCTATCTTCGACCAATTCTCGTCACCTTGGATATTAGTCGTTGGATGCTTGGCTTATGCTATCTATTATTACGTCTACCCGTACCTCGTGACGTACAGCCACTTAAAACATATTCCCGCGCCGCTTCCGGCACAGTTCACCAATTTGTGGCTCCTGTATGCATGCAGGCGAGGCAAACGTTATCTCATCGTGGACCGAGTCCACAAGAAGCTGGGGCCCGTCGTACGGATCCAGCCGAATCATGTCAGCATCGCCGATGACGAGGCAATCCAGGTCATATACGGCCATGGAAACGGATTCCTCAAGTCTGATTTCTATGACGCTTTCGTGTCGATCAGACGTGGTCTGTTCAACACACGAGACCGCGCTGAGCACACACGCAAGAGGAAGTTAATCGCCAGTACCTTTGCGCCAAAGGCGATAACACAGTTCGAGCCGTACATTCACCAGAACCTTGAAACGTTCGTTGAGAAATGGGATGGGCTAGTCGAAAAGTCCAAAAATGAGGACAATGCGGCGCATATCGACTGTCTAAAATGGTTCAATTATGTCGCCTTCGATACTATCGGCGACTTGGCATTCGGCGCCCCATTCGGCATGCTAAAGGCCGGAGCAGACATCGCTGAGGTCCGTACGGCGGTAGACTCGGATCCTATTTACGCCCCCGCGGTGGAGATCTTAAATCGTCGCGGCGAAGTTTCCGCTACTTTAGGCTGTTTAGTGCAGCTGAAGCCGTACGCTACGTGGCTTCCCGACCCATTCTTCAGTAAGGGCCTCGCGGCTGTGCAAAACCT